TTTCAAGAGTGGACAAAAAATTATTATTATTGGACAAATACTGATTAATTGTGGACAATCAAATCCCGTATGTAATTTGAAAAAAAACGCACTTAGGGGTGCTGACGTAAAAAAAATTTTTTTTTTTAATTTTTTCCAAGAGTGGACAAAAGATTATTATTCTTGGACAAATATGGACATATTGTGGACAATCTAATGCCATATAGATTTTGTCAAAATTCGCATTTAGGGGTGCCAACTTCACGCAGCTGAATCAGAATGAAATACGTAGTCCGTACACTGTGGAGAATATTTTGCACTAATGATAAAAACGGTCCACTCAAATATTTGTTAAATTTTTATACTGAAATATTAATTGAGATTTCAATCCGAGTGTTAATTTAACATAATGTAGTTATGTTAATTTGAATATTAATGTTAAATATTTTGTGCTAAATTGATATTTAATCTTAATGTTAAATTTAATTAATTTCTTAATGTTAAAATAACACAATTTATCAGTAAGTCAATAAATTACATAAAAATTATGTACTTTTAAAACGTAAATTCCAAGATAAATGAATAAAAGATACATGCACGTGTTAATTTAATATTACAAAGTATTAATTTTACTGAAGAACGTTTCCATAATTTGCCTCTAAATTGTATCAAAGTGTTATAATTGTTTTATGTTTAAAAATCTTTGAGTGGACTGTTTGGGACATGTGAGATGTGTTAAATTTCTACACAAATTTTTTCCAACTTGTGTAGAAATCTTCATTGTAAATTCAATGAATGACAAATGCCCAATGTTCGATATTTTGTCGTCGATTTATCCTTATTGTCTTATTGTACATGGCAAAATTGCACAGTCATCTTGTTTCAATGGCAACTCGTACGTCCGTCCAGACGTAATCGTTTTATAATTTGCTTATATACTACGATGGTTTTACGCAATTTCCAAGCCGGGTCATTATGTTATACGAATTATTTGGCCCAATTGTCTGACAACATCATTAACAGAATCAAATACTTTTGTTATAATTACATACAATTTATTATAATGTATCCATCTAGATACGCATTGTCCATTTTATTTATCTTTGCAATTACATTTATAATTAATTTTAAAAAATCTCATAGCTCGTGTAATTTAAATATCTTTGCATATATTAACGTATTTTAAATAACTACCGTTCTCCATTTCGTATGAAGTTTACTCACGCTGAATATGAATTAAAGCTCGAATTTTTATCATTTATTTTTTATTTGTGAATTTTGCAATTTTTATATTTTAATTTTTTAACGTAAAAAATATAATTTAATAATAAAAAACATTTGTGTAATGTCAACGTATTTTTGTGTGAATTTCACTGCCTTTGTATTTTTAAAATATATGAATATATGTATATATATATATATATATATTCATATATGTGTATACCATTCAACAATTAAACACTAATTCGTGTAAATGCTATCAATTATATAATCTTTTCCTACGTGGTCCCTAATGGGGAACAGAACAATCGTGAGAAAATTATGATCAAGTTGCGACATAAAGTGACACCCGAATTCTTTTTGTTAAAGGGGGATTGAACTCGCTAAATATCCCTCCTCCTTCCCTTTCCTATATCGGCAGTTTCAGGAGCAGGGTCCCGGCACACCGGAAATGCGCATTATAAAATTCATTCTACCCACCGGATTCGTGTACTTAGCCCGAAATTTCGCAGGCACGTAATTTGATAATTGCTCTTCCCTCTTTCTCCCCTCTCATCGTCGTGTTATTTCCCCTTCAGCTAACGACAAATATTAATCTGACGATTTTAAATAATTACTGTACTCGAAACGATCTGTTAAAAATTATTAAGCTCATGTCACACTACGCATTGGGGATTAAGAATTGCGAATTAGAGAGAGAGAGAGAGAGAGAGAGAAAGAGAGAGAGAGAGATTAGAATTCGCAACTAGTCAAAACGAAACGGATTAAAATTAAAATTATCTGATAGTCAAATTTTAATCTTTAATTCGCAATCTTCGATTTCCAATGCGTAGTAGACACGGGCTTTATGAACTTCAGAGAGATGGAAAATCGCAAAATTTTTCGGATACTTCATTCAATTCGATTGCCATTCATAATACTAATTAAATGGTGATAATGGCTTGAAGTGCGCTCTTGGTATTGTATTATTTCGTCCCGATTAATCGTGCAATTAAGAACATTAAAAATTTTATTTTATCAGATATCGTTGTGCTTATTATTTATGCCTTCGTGATGCTTTAACGTGAAAATAATTGTAATATCGAAAGCAAGTTAGACAGCAGAATGTTGCACGCCGAAAAGCATGATTATTATTGTTTTAGCGTTATTTTTTAATTCACTAACAGGTTTACAAATCAAATTTTAATTTTCATAAAAAAATTGCTTCTGCAATTCCTTCTGCAAAAATTATGTTTCAATGTAATTACACAAATTAATTTACACGAAGAAAAATTAAGATATGAAGCATTATTATCCTTATTTTAATGAATGCGATTTACGACTAACGTGGATTTAGAAAATCAATTTAGCAAATTGTGAGAACATTAAAAAATATGATAATCGAATTAACATCTTCAAAAATGAATGATGACCTATCAATTGCGAGGCGCGCAACGCTGATATATCTATCTGCCACTTTAAAAACTCTCAACATTCGCGTTTGCAGTTGCAGCAGCGATGAGCGGAAACAAGGATTACAAATCGGCCACGTCGATTTATGACTTCACGGCGAACTCTATCAAAGGAGAGGAAGTCCCTTTGTCCAAGTAAGCATAAACTCCGCGACTGGCGTCGCGGTAACGTCACGTTATGGAAAAGATGTAATATCATCTCTTGTTGATTCAGATACAAAGACCACGTGTGCTTGATCGTAAACGTTGCCTCGAAATGCGGCCTCACCGCGACGAATTACAAAGAGCTGAATGATCTGTACGACGAGTATGCCGAATCTAAAGGTAAATTCTCGTAATGTGGGAGGAAATAGAAAGCCATTCATTTATACGATACGAAACGACAGTATTCAAATATTCTTTTCGTTATTCGGCAGGATTACGAATTCTAGCGTTCCCCTGTAACCAATTCAATGGGCAAGAGCCGGGAAACAGCGAGGAGATTTGCAGTTTTGCCGAACGCCAAAAAGTAATTTTTTTCCTCACCATCTCTTGCGAAAATATCTTACTCAAAAATATCTTACTGTGCTTTATTCTACCTTATTCTACAAAAGGAACTTTATAATATTACGATATAATGTAATCTGTCACGAGCAACGACAATAGAGGTCGTATTGTAAACTCAGATAACAATCGCCCGTTTTCCTCGATGAATAAGCCCGCATTTATGTATCCGGTACTTTTCGCAGGTAAAATTCGACTTGTTCGAGAAAATCGACGTGAACGGAGATAACACGCATCCCCTTTGGGCATATTTGAAGAAGGAACAAGGCGGCCTGCTGGGTAACTTCATAAAATGGAACTTCACCAAGTTCATTGTGGATAAGGAGGGCAAGGTTGTCGAGCGACACGGTCCTAATGTGGATCCGCACAAGCTGAAGGGCTCTCTTGAAAAATATTTTTAGATCGATTCTATTCATATGATTTTGGTAAAGGTGAATATTCCCTGTAGTTCGTGCGATTTAAAAATTTATGCATAGTTGAAAAAAAATTTTTGTAGATTTTGTGATATCTCATCGCACACATACAATATTCAATATATAAAAAACTTATTTTTTCCCTTCGTATATATTATGTTGCAATGAACTATTTTTGAATTCTCTTCCGACACAGGTACGCATATATTTAATATTTCATAAGATGGCGTGATGTAATTATGAATTGTTTATAAGTAACTGGAAATCAATATTACGTATTTACACATTCCTTACTTTTATATATCCACATAAGTTCTATTTAAAAAATCCTTGAAGATACTAAAGCTTTGCTTCTACATACATCATTTAAATTGTGAATATAATATGAATTTTGTCTTTGTTTTACATTCTATAATAATTAGTTATTAATCAATAACTAATCTAATTCGTATCGGCAAAATTACCAATTCGACATGTATATGTCATATTTGACATTATACGACGTACGAAGGCACTAAGATATACAATTACGCTTAAACCAGAAATATCTTGTTGTAACATAAGACTACTTTGCGATATGGTGTAAGAAATAAATAAAAACATGTTTAACGATCACGATGCTTATTCTTGAGATTCCCGAGCGCGCGATCTTCTGCGAATTACAGGCGATACTTCGAGAAGTGTAATTGCAGATGTACAAGGTATCCAAGTTACAATATGTTTGCGATCTAGGAAGCAAACATATCGTAAAGCAAAGCTTTCGATATACACCGCGCTTTGTTGGCACGGAACAATCGCCGGCTCACATACACACACACGCTCATTTACTTTCGACTCTGCCGATCTCGTATAACGCGGATATTGCGTGTTGTGCGTCAAAGGGTCGAAAATCGATGCTTCATTCCGACTCGGCTGAAGCGCTGCTGCACACACTTGAGAAACGCGGGATTGCTATTAATTAATTTGGCAACTTCGAACTGGCGCGTCCCGTGGGACGGTATTACGTTTAGCCGTATGCCACTACTCGCCCGACCGCCAACAATAGCGAACGCCGACGTGAATGAATGTAATTTCACTCCGCGCGCACCGTACATTACACACGCCCACTCATCTTTCGCCGCGATAATTAGCGACGGCAGATCACTTTCGCGCGGCCGGCGTTCACGCTCGTTCACGCGGCGGCGTGACCTTGCCTGTTTACGGTGTCACTGGCAACGCTATACTTTTTTAGCCTAATTGCGCCTTTTTAAGCATTCCCGCGTGACGCGCACAGCGGTCGTGCGGAGAGCGCGGGACAATTTATTCATTTAGATTACTCCGGAAGATACACACGCCACGTTTCTCTCTTGAATCTTCATTCTAGCCCGTGTCCCAATTTCGGTGCGACTACACAATTTCGTCGGTTCCCTTCTCTCGACGAGCGCGCGCGCGCGCGCGCGCGAGAGAGAGAGATACAATTCGGCGTCGCCGTGTATCGCGGAACCACGTTTAACTGAGAGATTTTTCGAACCAATTTTGTGAGATTCTCCCGCCTTATCTCTTGTCTCGTCGGAGAAACGCCGTAAACAGCAGTAATAGTTTCCCCACTGAAAAGGCTTTCCATTAGGAGAGACTTCTTGGTCAAACGGCCAAATCCAATCTACCTTCCGTAATCCGAGTATAGCGTCGGATAATTCGAAACCTTCGAAAGCATTAGTTTCACAGCCGTCGAGATATTTATCGAAAAGTCGTTAAAATGAGAATCGGAGGAGGGAGGGACTCTCGCGCGTACATCACGCCCGTGTCCGATTTATCTGTCGAGTATCGAGCTCAAGGGATCGCGCGCAAGTGTTCCTCTCGCGGCAATTTGTCAGTGGATGCTGTGTGAGATGCCACATACACGCGCGCGCACACAGGTGTACGACAGCAGGACAAGGGTAATCGTGACGCACGTTCGCCGTCCTGAATTCGCATCCCTGCGTCGACGACGACGACGACGACGATGATCAAAATGGATCGTGTCCTCCATCGTGTCGGATCGTAATCTCGGGCGCGTATATCACAAGCGCTCGCTCGCTCGCTCGCGCGGCGTAATACGCTCGCGCGTATACACGCGCACGTGTGCGTGACGGTGGCGCGCATGGTTAATGTACAAAACGAAGTTGAGAGATACTAACGCTATAATTAGTCGTCCTTGCCTGCCGACTGATCCCCGAGGCTTCGCCTCCATTCATAGAACCGCCGCTTTCCCCACGACGTCGACGTCGTCGTCGTCGTCGTTTCCAAACGTGTGACGTCTCATTCAGCCTGTGCGCGGATCGAAATTCCGCCCTCGCGCCGGGCGACTGGGGATATCGAAAAAGAAAAAAAACCGCGCTACGTCTCGATTGTTTAACGTCAGTTAAAATAGCCTCTCCTCTGCAGCTCGCGAATAAAGAAAAAAAAAAAAAAGAAAATTTATCGTTTTCCGTTCTCTCCATTGAAAATGAAATCAATTCGCTCATAGGTCAATCTCTCTCGGGATCCGCTGGTCGCTATCACACATTCCTAGCTGGAGCAAAAATTCTACTGGAAATAAGTAAAATTTTTATAGGCAGAAGAGATATTCACGTTTACTGAAATAATATAACGGGATTTACTTTTTCCTCGATTGGAATACGTCATGCGTGTATAAATTTCGCTGTTCGAAAGTGGCCCCGGGTTCGAAGTTATTCGCCCGACAACTCCAGGATTCTTTACACAACCGATCGATAGCTCCGTTTTGGAGAAGTTTTCCATTTTCGGGAGATTTAGGTTTAGAGATTTATAAGTCTCGAATTTTCGCATCCGCGTGAACGCAAACAATCTTCCGCCTTGTTCTCATGACACCGTATCCTGGTTATCACGGTTTTTACGAGGTCACATATAAACGAGATGATATAACCGTAGATAGGGAAAGGTTCCGAGCATTTATGGGGAATCCAGGTAGACTCAATATGCCACCGGGGGGAGACCTTTGAAGGTTGAGAAACTATAGCCAAGACCCAAGCGACCGAACCCACGCATGCGAGACAAATTAATCTCTCTCTCTCTCCCTCTCTCTCTCTCTCTCTCTCTCTCTCTCTCTCTCTCTCGAAGTGTGTATCGATTTTTTTTTTAAAAAGGACGGTTTAAGTAAAAGTTATAGGGTACCAAGAGAAACATTTATAGCGGCCGCGCCAGTTTTATATAAATAAATGACGCCATGAAGAGCTTACGTCATTTCCCCGGACTGTCAATGACAAGCGTTTTTTCGCCGACCGCGATGAATAAAAAGTTACTGAATTACCCTCCATCCTCCCCCCCCCCTCTCTTTCTCTCTCTCGATCCTTAGCTGCTCTGTCAATGCAATTAAATGTTGAATAGATACAAATGGAAAACAAAAGTACACATTCCGTATTCGTATAGTGCTAAGAAACTATTCTAACTCTCAACCGTCGTTCAAAAATGAAGTAATGGAAGTTTCCTGTAAAGCTTTTACATAAAGCGTCAAGCCCTGCTTTCGGCAATCGTGACAAAATTAATTGAAAAGCGACGTCGAGAAAACGACGTCGGTTTATTCAACTTTTTCAGTTTATTCTGTCGTGATTGCCGAAAGGCAGGGCTTGACTCTGAAAGTCGGGATAAGACAGAACAGAGAAGATTGCTAAGAGGAAGCGAAGAGCACGCGTAGTAGCTCGCGCCGTCTTCGCGCGCGGAAACGGATTCCCATCATATTAACTCCCGTTTAATTCACTCGCCTTTCGAGGCCTCCGAGGCAGCTGCGCGCCGCGCGCGAAGGACGTGAGGAATTGATCGATAGCGGTGACGTAAAGGAGCCCCTGAATTGTCATTTACCGCCGGCGGCCCCTGAGGGGCTAATGTTGACGTTGTCAACGGAGCATTATGTGGAGGTGTCACCAGGTTCCATGAACGTATGCCGTTCTATATCTGCACTCGTTCCGTATCGACACGGAACGGTTATCAGCAAAGTTCAGCCGTCAAAGGCGTCTAATTTCAACTTTAACCCTTTTCCGCCCACGCCGGTGTGTACGAGTCGTCCCCTCGCCCTCCTGCCCCTTCCGCGGCAGTGGCGGCGGCGGCGGCGGCGGCGGCGGCGGTGGCTGCAGCCTTCTCCACCGCCGTAAGATCCAGATGCAATTACGCAATGCGCAGTAAAAATACATCCGCGGAAAATGTCAGTGGAACGGCTGGAATTACGTTTCAAGGATGCTGCGTCCGTTCAAAAGGTTCTCTGCATGCTCGCGTGAACCTCTAACACGAGCACCCCTCCTGCCCCTTCCCCTCTTCCGTCGTATCTTTCGACGGCGACGACGACGACGACGGACGGCGGTGTCCCCGTTGGGGACTGCGTTATCGGCGTATCCGATCGAACGCGTTTTACTCAGGATATTTCCGGTCTGACATTTTTCCGATCGTCGTAAATAAATGTCGTTTCCAACGTCGTATGTCTTCTTCTTATACGCGAGAAACGATAAACAAACGTCTCGGGACGATCCAGGTACTTGCGGTGAGAAGGGGAGGAGGGAAGAATCCAAGAATCTACACGCGAATGCTTGACTTCAAGTCAGATTTTTAACGAGATATCTCGTGAAAAGTTAAGCCGAATCGGTTTTGTACGAGTTTGAAATGGATGCTCGAATAGAGATCCGCTCCAATCGTTTAATTACTTTACAATAAATCAATCGCGGCCGTAATGGAAACGCGAGGCTCCGCCGATTTCTCGAAACTATCGGCCTCTTCATTCCACTCACTAGTATATTATATAGGCTTTTAGGCTACCTCCCGCCGGGTCAAACGCTGCGCTCGCTCGCTCTTTTTCTGGCACAATAGTACAATGAGTTCCACGACCTAGTTATCAACAGGTTTAGAAACCCGTTGTTCATCGGGACTTTTTATCATAAATCTCCGAAACGTTGGTTGCCGCGAACGTAACTTCTTTTTCTATTAAAAAAAAAAAAAAATTGAGAAAAATACTGAAAAAAATTAGGAAGAGGAGCGCAAGTCAACGCAATTTCCGTCACGCGCACACGATGACGCCCAACCGGCTCGATCTCTCGCGAGCAGCCTAACCTAACCTCCCGCCGATAAACGTGGGCCGGCGAGTGACTCTCCCTCCCTCCCCCTCTCCTTCCTCCGCCCCCCGCTCCGTATTCCGAGAGAGCGCCGATTCATGCGACTCGCTCGTTTTAATTCGCCTTAATCGCGACGTCACGTCCCCTTCCTTCCGCTTCGACTCACGTGCGGATGTGAGCTTAACTCACCGAACCGGGGGTAGGGTAGGGCAAGGGCGAGGAGGAGGAAGGGAGGGACCGAGCACCACACAGGACGACCGCCTTTCAACGTCGGCACAGGCGACACATACGTGCGCGTAATGTATACGCGACCGCGTGACCGACGGCGCGGCGATGACGGAGGTTCTCCGATAAAGCGTGCCGTTTCTCGTCTCGCGGGATCGAGCTCACCCGCGCGCGTCTCTTCTCGAGACTGAAAAAAATTTCGAGAGACAAGAAAACCTCCACCCCCCCCCTTCTCTTCCCCGATAAGAGATATCGGTGAGCTCGAATTTTAACATCGACCACAGACTGGTCGAATTTATCCCGATTTATTGCCGAT